CCATCCACCCACACCCTTTGAACGATCGATCCCCAGAAATTTTTAGCATCTTATTCTATTCCAGTTGTAATACAGCAAGAGAGGTGTAAAGACTTTTTTCGAAAGTTTCACTTACAGGATGGCACAACCTGTTTTACCTGTGCGACTCGTCCAGTAGTCAAAATCAACGGAGCTCTCCTCGTTTCAAATGTCAAGAGATTTTTTTTAGTTTCTGAAAGTCACAGGAATAAATTACTTACTAATTTTCATATCATACAAGAAAACTTGAACACATTCAAGCACGATGACTGCTTTCAAAGCGGAAATCATGTTTAAAATGGTGTCTGAGGTTTGTTGTGTAAAATGAAAGTGTTTATGGTGAACGTGACACCGATGATTGGCAGTCGAAAAGGTTCAACTACTGGGAAATCGCCAGCTTTTTTCATCAACAAGTGAGAAGGTGAAAAGCACGGCAATGTTCACAGTATTCGCTTTGCAAGGTCAGAACAAATGCCGGGCTGACGAGATCGGCCCAATTAGCCACGGAGAGCCATTCCGATAAATCCGGTCATCCTGTCTATCGTAGATTCTGGTGCTCACCTACATGCTCCAAAACCTGAAGGAGCTGGTCAGGAGCAGTGGTGGCTCATTCTCCGGTCTCATATTTACCAGATCGAGTTTCGCTTGGGCCATATCACATCAGCTTTCCATTCCTCCAATGACCATTCTTATTCTGGGACTAGTTATGACTGACTCGTACATTGGCTGGGCATCTGCGAGCCAATTCCGCATCAATGTACCACTGCGATGCAGAATGGCAGCTGAATGCATGTCATCCCAAAAGAGCTTGTTAAACGACTAGTGATTGATTCACGACTTGGCGGCCATTTTCTCATGATTGCACACTTTGGGCTTCCAGGTCCTCCTCAACGTATAATGTTACAGCCTTTCTAGAACTGGGGTCTATCAATGTGAGCCCTCCTCCGGGCGATGGCGATGTAGCGCCTCCACTGCTGTATCTCCATTTCGTGGACTGAAGCACGCTTAGTCGATAGGAGCTTTCCCTCCTGGATGACTCCACCGATATACCAACGCAGTTATCCAGTGAGATTGGTAGCGCTGATCAGAATGATGCCTTTATCGAAAAACATGCATAGATAAAAAAAACACTGGATTTTCACTGCAACTCGAATCCATGGCTCAAACCAGAAAGTATAATCAACACCCTCTCGTTCCGTCTAGACGAGTCAAAAGGAGCGGGACTAGGGTCAGATTTCGCGAATAGGTACCATGTTTTAAAAGGACATGGGAAGAGGGCAGTGGGGGAATTTGTTTTGCAATTTGGAAATTTTTCGAGTAATTTTGTAGTTGGAATTTTCAGTGGAGCAACTACACATACCTATCAGTTATGGCGCACTGCCAAAATAAGGCTGACTAGTGGAATAATTATGAATTCGTGACAGGTACAGTAACCAAATAACCATAGACAGAAATACCAACAGTGAAACTGTGTTGTGGGTAATGGATATCGAAGGGTGATGGTGTATGGGGAAGGGAGGGGACTGAAGGGAGCAAGAGTCTCAAAAATTTAAAATTGGTCGAATTCAGCGGTTCCCCTGCAGTGCGCTCATCTATGTAGTTCCTGATATTTCAGACGCAATGCTAAAGTTGATCGAAGCCAGCAGAAGTTCAGGCGATCTTGAGAAATTCGTAGCTGGTTTTCCTGCCGAAACTACCCGAATTGACCCACATAATGAACTCCGAGCCGCTGCAGCCGTAATGCATCAATGGCAGACTTTGCACGAGATACACGTGCTGATGTTGTTTTCACGTGCTAAAAAGGAACTTTCGTAGTAGCGCTCCACGCCCTTGTGCGAAGCGCTCGTTTCTCGGCACTTTGGGCTTGTTCAGCCCAACACCGTTAACACATTTTCTCCGTACTATGTTCCCTTCTCGAATCCTGTTCGAATCAAATTCAGTAGACGCGGAACCAAGGCCATTCGTTTCGAACAATGTGTTAACGTGATCAGAATCACTTCCCTTAACAGCGCAGACCTTGAGAGAAACTTGCTTGTCACGTCACTGGACCAATGCACAAACCACATCGCTCCTTTCTCGTATATCAGAGATCGAATAGTGACTACGTTCGACTGAAATACGGCACTTCCTTTCTTGACTGCTTGGACGTTGTACATATTGACCTCAAATGGGGGTGGGAACAGAAGACAAATTTCAATATCAAGAGCGTCATGAGATAAGCAAAAGTTACCAAGAATCCAGGTAGGTAGGATCTGTGGCGCTTTTGCTCAGGGATAATGTTTGCTCCCTACTTCCCGCTTGAAGTAAAGGAGACTTGATGCTGATCACTCCTATCCGGAATGTGCCACGCACTCCAGTCCCGACCAGAACTGTAAGACATGCGATATCTGAGACATAGTTTTATACAGGGGTAGCCAAAAAAGAGACACTTTGCTCATGACCCATATCAGCAAGCTTGAACTCGCGCAGGCTGCGTGGTCGATGGAAGACTTTCCGCAGAATATTTCTAAAATGTCCCTCCATAAGCAGACGCAATCCCCTTCTCATTGCCCTAATCTTCTTCAGAATATGACGTCATCTGCAATCGCGTCGAGCTCAAGGAGATCTCCCTGTAATAGCTTCGATCAGAGCTCAAAGAGATCTCCGGAATAGCTCGCTGTATCGTCAATGGCATAGATTATTGAAGAGCTTGGACAGCAGCCCGACTTTGCACCGTTCGAGGAAACTTGGGCTCGAAACGTCCCAACGTTTCCGTAGGCAAATTCATCTGATGTCGTCGGTATGGCAAACTGTTATGGCGTTTGCTGATAGATTGGAATGTGCCCTTCAATATTCAGTTGGGAGTATACAGTTTGAATCTAGCAAGCTGTGATTAGTGCCTTTTTGAATGTGGAGTGAAGTGTCTCTTTTTGCATCCCTGTATACAGGGGAGGGGGGGAAAAAAAGACATGGTTCCCAGCGTCGCAATCGGTCTTTTTTACTTCGCAAGGGAGGATTGACGAATGATGCGTCGTCAATTCTAGGTTGGAATCACACGCTGAACTGGCAAAAGTGTGCATTAATCATTTGAGTCCGACGACAAAATGTCTTTTTATTGCACCCCCGCCCCCTGCATATGCATAGCTCATCTTTTGAATCGTAATTCATGGCAAGCAAGATCATTTGTGCTTTTTCGATACGTTCGATTCCAAGTGAAACATAGGAAGTGACCTAAGGCTTCCTAACCTGGACAGGATTCAATCTTGCGAAACTTTCAGGCGCTTTGAAGGCGCCTCCAGTCACCACATCCCCTTCGACATTGTCTGATTCGACTGGAGAACGGTCAACGGAATCGTCAGCTCGCCGCTCCGCGCACGCGGCGGATCCTGGGATGGGTATTTGTTCCAGTGCTTTTGCTAGTCCGGTGGACCAATTCACCTAATCGCGCTTATTGAAAAAAAATAAATAAATTCATCATTCCCAATTCGAGATGGGGAGTGTGGCCCTCGTGTTTTCCAGCTGACTATGAGCTGTTTTGATGGGAAAACTAGACATTATCCACTAAGCAAGATGTAATTAACGGTAGGAATGAATATGAAAATGAATAATTGGGGCTATTTTGTGGAGCATCACCTGTGCGGGTTTATCAGATCTCTGATAACCTTAGCCTCGGGGTATGCAGGGGCAGATGGCACTGACAAGGGAGATCGTTCAGGGTGTGCCGAGCTTTTTCAAAACGGTCTTTTGCATGATATAGGAGGCACATGCGGGAACCACAGAACCATGGTTAATTTTTCCTGAACGGCCCTCTGAATACCAGAAAGGGGGTCCCTAGTCACACCTTTTTCACCAGTTTTTCAATCAAAGTCTATTTGTAAGGGTTACTGACGTCCTAATCATGAATGGGTACTAATTATTCATGCTAACTCCATTTTGCGCGAATTTTGGAAACGTCAACTCGAAATGCAAATTTGTCACCACGAGGAATCGAACTAGGGACCCCTTTTCTGGTATTCAGAGGGCCGTTCAGGAAAAATGAACCATGGCTTCTGTGGTCCCATATGTGCCCCAATGTCATGCAAGAAACCATTTTGAAAAAGCTTGGCACACCCTGAACGACCTCCCTTGTGAGATCCCAACTACGGATTTAGGAAGCGGCGCCTAGACCATGCATACAAGATGCACAGCTACTCGGGCTTTCTTAGAGCGGTTACCTCCAAAAAATAACATTTTTCCCGTCCTTTGGAGTCCCATGAAGAAAAAACACATAAATATAACGGATTTGCCAGCTAGATTACCAAGCATCCTTGTCCAACTCCTATACTGACGAACTATTTTTCAGTCGAGCTGTTTCGAGCAACGTCGACTTGGACGCAGTTGATGGTGATGCCTACGAACGTGTGCGCAATGCTTTACATTCAATTCATGCACGGATTGGTGTTATCGGTGCCAGATAAATCGGCGTCAGAAGGCGCTCAAATCCATTCTCCAATTTTCTGAGCTTGTATAAATTAATTGAACGGGTCTAGCTAAGTGTTACTTTCTTAAAAGAATAAAGCTCTTATATAAATCCAGCATCTCTTGTTAGGAGCACCCTCTGTTACCTGTACTTCCTTTTCAATGCAATAATTTATTATCTTGAATAGACTTTAAAAAATCATAAACACAAGCAGGGACTACAAGGTCACTTGAAGTGGCTGTAAGCATCCAGCACAACAGATCGCAGAGAGTAGGAAAGCCGGTTATTGTTTCAGCTTGCACAAAGGAAAGATGACCAAAACAAGAACCTGACCAATTTCGGATCCGCCGATGGAAGAGATCTGAAGAGCAGCTTTCATAGGAATATTTACGGAAATTTGCGTCCCTTATGATCAAAATCTCTCCCAACAACAGAAACAACACGACAGCTTCGCAACGGAAAACGAGAGATAATGTCATATGTAAAGCTAACACTTTAGTACATAAGCCGGATTAGTGTTGTGTTGATGGCTCTCCTGCCTCATTTATGCAGCACTATTACGACCCGCCACAGCTGTGCGAATCTCGCGGACGATTTCCTCCTGCTTCTCTTTCTCCATAGACGTATCAACAGAACGCAGATCTCCGATAACCTAATAATATTTCATTAATCCACATAAGCGATGGTATGCTTTAACTGAATCACCCTATGTAAACGGCAACGCAATCATACCTTCTTAGTTTTACCAAAGTAGATCTCATTGATTGTTGAACGCATTTTCGATTCCTGATCCTGAAAAGGTTCATCGGATATGAAATCTTAGGAACAAAATATAATAATTAGTAGTTAGTTCAACGCAGAGTAATAATAGGTTACTTCGATCATTCTTCCTATATTGACGAGATGAGTATTCTGGTCGTTGACTGGAGAGTCCTGATCAGCCTAAACATCCCTGGTAATCAACTGATCGACAAGAAACGAGATTAAACTATAGATCCTATTCCGTCACACGACAGTACTTGTTTGTTCTCTGTTTGTTGTTTTGTTTACTACATCTAGTTTCAATCTACGCCACGATGACATTAGTTTTTTACACATTACACGATTTACCTACAGATATGTCTTCTTATTTATATTTAGCGTAACTTTCCTCTGGTAAAGGATTAAAAGACAGCTTATTAGAATCAAGACAGAGGATGGTCAGCGGTGCGATGAAGGAAAAACCATGATAAACGGTAGACTTGCGGCGAGCACAGAGCCAGTCGGTAGGCATGCGCGCCGATAGCGCCGAGGGGAGAGCCATTCTGGATCGCCAAGAGAATTCCGTCGCTGAAGTTCCGTGTTGGGCCGCACCTTACCGGTCCAGCCTTCTTCCATCGGTAAATTTTACGTCTCCGGCAGTCGACGGGGGAATAATGGATCGCCGTCATTTAGAAACCAGTGCTCTTTCAGTTTGAGCATGGGGAATTTAGCGGTTACGGCGCAATTAGCCTTTATTAGTTCTCAGAACGCGCTTGGAGATTCATTTCTTAACTATTGTAGATCAGACTTAATTAAAAATATTCGATGAAGAATGATGCGCGCCTAGAAAGAGGAATGATTCCGAAATGTCATGACGCGTCTCGGGCTCTCAGGCACCTGGACCCTTCAAAATCTTTTTGGAACTAAACATGGTTTCAAAAAAAACTCTTTAAAAGCGCCATTAACAAACAATACGATACTAGGGCAGCTTAACAGCTTACAGTCGTAACAGTAACGACGAGTACTGCAAATATCCACTTTGGGGAAAGGATTCCTAAAAGCGTGTGGAAAACAGTCGGTATGAGGTGGAGTATTTGCAAATTACACTAAGCGTGCGATGTTATAAATTGGTTGCTTGCTACTTAATAAGTTCCGAAAGGCTGACACAATATTCAGATTTGAGGTAGCCACAACGAATCGAGCTTTGCGTAGCAATTTTCAGGCACGTGTAATCACAAATGAAGTAATTATTTGGGGAAAATGTAACACTATAAATTCAATAGTGAGACAATATTCATGGTAATGTGAGGTAATATCAACGAACTTTCCATCTTCAGTGCGCCGGTTCTACCAAAAAAAGATGCTAAAAGTAATTTTGCTACATCTACGTCAGCATTTCAAGGAACAAACCTGTCGTGTAAGTGATCCGCCAAGATTCATCATACCGCTTCCGGGTTTATTTGTCTGTAACCAAAGCATAATCGTGCTTGTCAACTTGTAGTGAACTTGGCGTGAGGACTGCAATAAACGCATTAAGACCTCCAAAAATACATTTTTGAGGCAAGTTGGTGTGCGTTTGAGAAGTACAAAAACTTACTCTTTCGTTAATCTCGATGACATGGATAGAATCCCAACATCCTTGAATAGCCTTTGAACCATCTCCATTCTAAAGCATGCCAGTAAACGACAAAGTAAACAAAACAACGGAGGCCAAAAGGTGGAGAAGATGTGAAGAAGTTCTGGTCACCAGGAAAAACGTTACAAGGTGAGGGAAAAACATGTAAATGCTTCCTTCTCTCAATAGGCGAACAATCAAACAGTCGCAAGGCACAAATAAAATCTAACAAGCATAGCTTACCTTTTTGATAAGAACAACTCCGGCAAATCCATGGTCGAGATCCCAGAAATACACCGATGATATGCCTCCCTCGAAATACCTAAAAACAACTTTCTTCGGATATCTGAGAAACGGTACTGGCAGGTATGCCACAGCTGTTCAAATTACTCCTTTTACTGAATATCAAACCAAAATGAGCCAATTAGCTATTACCACAAAAAGTATGGAAACCCACATATCTCTATAACTTTCGAAAGGCTGCATTGGCTTCGATTTCCAATTTTCTCAACTTTTCCGAAGGCAGCTGGGCATCCTCTGCCGGAGGATCATATGTGTTCGTCCACGGAGATCTGAACAAAGGATGTTTTCGCTTTTTATCCATTGCAATCGATTGCACATTAATATGAAGTTAGAATCATTGCAAAATACTCCATCCGCCACCAATTTGATAAGGTGTAGCGCCCAGCATGGAGAACCAACTATCCCTTCACCTCAAAGTTGGTGTCAGAGTCGCGATCCGTCACAGGTTTCGCGTCATTCGCGCAAATAACAAAAATCGGAAGTGCCTCGTCTGAACATTTGAAACACTGAGTATGAAACAAGTAGCATCGAACAATCGTCATTCAGCCATCACCATCAAGCAGCAGTTGCGAAAGGATTGGAGAGCACCTTACACTGATCGGGCAGTGGCGATTTCTGTGATCCGTTGCTCGAATCGCGCGGATTAAGGCGAAACCTGCGACTGTTCGCAGACTCGGACACCCAGCCAAAAGATGGTAGTGAAATCAACAAAAATAACTTGTTAATAGTATAACGTGATCAGAATTTACCTGTACAATTGCAAAGTGATTGCAAAACTTGTAATACAAATCTCTACTTTTCTCTATGCCAACCTGTAGCTATCTCCATCTCTGCTGTAATCACAAAGGAGGTATTCCTTGCCAGTTTCCTTGTCTTTCGCCACTTTCAGCGGTTGATCAACAGTACCTGAACATTACTATAGCATTCTAAATATTTTGCATTTCGTTACAGAAAATATTTCGCTTTGCAATTTTACAATTGGTGAGCTCACCCAAGAGGTCTTCACAGAGTCCTGGAACGAGGTCGATGAGATCTATGAGATTTCGCTCGCACTGCTGTGGAGGTAGGCGGCGCATCAAATCCAATGCGCAATCGAGTTGCTGCTCACTCTGTTACAGACAACAATTGCTTCAGAACAAATATTTTCTATGGTTGAAACTAATTCAACCATGACATTTTCACTTGTTTTACGCGTAAGCCTGGGTCTTAAAATAGTTTGCGATTTTGCGACTTACGTGGAGTAGATTCCTATCGACAAGCGCAACCGCACAAACGCACGATGCTCAGTTGTGTTGTGGCCCACACGATTCAACTCCACACTCCGAAATGCAAGAAAATACTGCAGGGCGTCGCAATGTATACTCGGCCTAATCATTTCTATTACCGATAGCCGACATGTTCGTACATCTTCAAATCTAATCCGCAAGCGCTGTTCAATTTTTACACTTGATCTCTGAGAAAGCACCCCAACTAACTTAGACTTCGGTTACAACAACGAGTTCATAATGATACGACGTCCGAATGTGGATAGCTCAGAAAGGTTTTATTGATCAGGAACTACTCAACTTTATTAACTTTGTGCTCCCTAAAATTTCGACCGTCTCAAACTTCTACAACTTCCATATACCAAGATTAAACTTTTCAGGGTCTGATAAGATTGAATGATGGGTAGACCTTTTGAATGGCAGAGTAAATATTTCTTAGAATGAATAACTACAGTAAATATGCACTAATCATGCGACCTGTTTTTGTTTAGGCAATAGGAGGCTCAGCCGATGCTCTGAAAAAGCAATATGTAGAAGAACTAGGTACGAACAACATCAACTACAACAACGACGATTAGGATATGGCCTAATATACGACCTCTTGAATCACAGCAAAGGAGAAAATCGATTCAAAGCGTCCACCTTCCTTCCGTTATTATAACCAGGCTTATCCTCTACAAAAGTTCCGTGGGTGTTCTAGGTTAGACAGAAAGTCTGCACGTACGCACTTCACTTATTTGTTAGAAGCAAGATTATCAGCATTACTGGAAAATCGATCAGGCTAGAAAAACATAACCATAAGCTTTCGAATCATTTTGCCGAAGTGATAAGGAATGCAATAGAACTATTGGCGAGACCTAAACTAGCCAGCAATCATACGAAAAGGTGACTCGCTTCGAATCATACTGGGCGCAACATACCTCCGGGAACGGGTGGGAGGACCAGTCTGTACGAAGGCCACTAGGGACTAAGCCTAATGGTAAGGAACGAATTCCGGGGAAAATGAGAACTGCATAAGCACCTCCGTTTGGCCGATGTCAGACTTTGCGAATCGCGCGACTCGCCAGCGTCGCGTCGCGGCCACACACTCATTGGCTGGTGCCGCAAGACTCGGAGCTAGGAATCGCGCGATTCGCTAAAATCTGACATCGCCTCAAAGTCAGTTCGAACCACAAAGCGCTCCGCATGATTCTTGACCAATGCTACTGGGCTGTCCGCCCTCTCCCTCCCCTGGAGCCACATCGCCTCATACTGATACTGGCTTCCTTATGTGGGAGCCCTTTTTTGCTAATTTATTGCTACATGTTTTTTGCATACACTTTAAACTCTACTACTCGTGATCTTAGGAATGGGCCGTGATTGTATTGTGTAAGTAGGATACACATCTACATAACATGGTTTTTAAGGATTTGGCGCAGTTCATCTAACACGCTCAATTTATAACTGTATTTTCTTATTTTATGCCTGATCAGCATGACTTCCGAGGTTCCAGCAGGATCATCAACTGAGACCCGAGATTCTAAGCCACCTACCAACTCATGCTCCAGACACGGCGAAACGTCGCTTTCCTGTCCTATGTGAAGCGCCTCATGATGCTTGTACATGCCGTGTCAGCATAAATGATCCTCACCCTGTTTGAACATCGTACGAGCCGTCGACCTAATCGATATCAAGCACCAGCTCGTCACCTAAGTATGGGGCGCAACTTTCCAGGAATTGGAACACGGACGGTTCACCAAGTCTGAATGCTTACCTACCGACTAATAGGGTCTATTCCAGTTAGGGGGGCATCATGGTGCGGTGACTCCCAAAAAGCTACGGTAACTCTGAGCCAGGGGGAGTGTAGCCAGCCTAGGGGGGTGGGGGTGAGGGCAGTCACTTGACATGCGTGAGAAGCTGGAATGTTCGAGTTTACATTAGCTCGCCGAGAAACTGCATCATGATGCCCCCCCCTAACTGGAATAGACCCCTAATTTTCAAAAGAACCGTTGTTAAGTTACGTGAACACAAAACGAAAGCTTCGTCATAGATGTGTCTAGCGCTGAAAGAATATCCGGGCGGTCACTAATCGCGGTGCTTTAACAATAACTGACATATTTTCATTGAATTGCAGGCCACATTATTACACGCTGCTCTCCAGCAACTGCCAGCTCCCAGATGAAAAAGAGATTTTGCAAAATACCCGAAAATGTTTCCAAATTCTGAGCAGTATCGGGGCATTGATATACCTAGAAGCGTTACGGACCCCAAATGTACTCAGTTTGAAAGTACTAAACTCCCGTTATTGAAGTATTTAACGAATGGATGTAAAACGTAAAAATTCTCGAGAAACAAGCATATTCATCGTGCATTGATCGCAACGATTAACCATTGCACAGCACGATCAATAAGTGCAGTGCTGGCAGCGAGCCAAGCCTTTTTCGCGCCGGGACCATTGATACTGCGCCCAAATTTTGTGCGGCCTTTGCAATTTCGTCTCGTCCACCTTGAAACTGGAGCAGTTGCCAAGTTTTTTTTTTCGACAAGTCCTTCGTTGCGTTTTGAACAAGCACTTGCCGAGTTTTCTAGTCTGTCGTTAGTTTTTAACAGGTGTTGAATCCTTGCCACACTTGGCGTAAGGCTCTTGCAATTACATTGGCTTCTCTTGCTTAACATGTAATTTTTTGTCAAGAATTGTTGCCCGTTTGGAGCCGTACTACATCTTTAACTTTATTGGTTGTCTTTTATCGTTATTTTAGGTAGTGAACTTTGGTTGTTGTTCTCATTGCCTTACCACGGTCATCAAAATTGGAGGGCAAACGAGTAAGAATCACTCTCTCAGATCGGAGAAACATGTGAGTTTGATGGAAGCTGCGTTTGATTTTGGAACCGATGACCCACTTCTCAACTATATTCACCATATGATTTAAGCGTAGCACGAGGGTAGCGGCCGTTAGTCGCCTGAGTGATATGAAGAGAGCCAATAGTTCAGAAAACGGAGACGAATGCGTGCCTACTAAGAATAACACAAACGGACATCCCCAGGTTGGTTTGTGCTTTGCTGATTTTTTGTTATGAAATTTTATTTTGCTTGAATAAATCCTTATGGGTAAATTTCCAATCCTGTATGTGGAGAGTCGCAACAGCAAGACCGCGGTCGGCTTTGAGACTCCCCCGCAAGTCAAATGTGGATCGAATGTGTCGAGTGCACAAACTTGTGGTCGCGCGACAGCAAATTCTCACAGTCTATATTCATCTGAAACACACTCGAACTGCAAGAGAATCGCAAAATATGATCGCTATTTAACAATGTTTTCAATTTATCACAGAATGCTGAGCTAAGGGCAAAACACATTGGCCCAGTAATGAATGCAATCCAGGTCGTCTTGCTCGCAGCGCGGTGGGGCTACACTCACACAAGCTGAACCATTCTCTAAGTCAGCTCCATATTTCTGCTGCAATAGAATCGAACTTCCAGTGGGTATTACGACTGAATGCTTTCGGCGCTATAAGAGCTCACACCCTTAATGTGATGAGCCGCTTGAACAGTATCTGCAGCGAATCGCGAAGCTGGAAGCTATGCAGCTTCTGTTTTTTTTTCTTCCAAACAAAAAAGAAGAATTAAAAAGCTATTATTTTAATATCTTTATTTGGCAAAAAAATCCGCCACCTTGGCTTAATCATATTTCATATCAGCAACCCATGATTTTGTCTCGTTTCTTTTAGTTCTATCGTTTCTATGACATTAATCACGGCACATTTTTTTCTTTTGGAAAGGTTTTTCTGGCTCCTTCCATGCTTTGAAATGCCATTCATCAAAACACAGTTGTCCCGGCAACAAGCTTACGGCGCGTATTTGTTGACAAATCAATTCCCAATCCTTGGAGCTCTTCTCGTCTTGTAATCCTTCCGATGCGGAGATGTTTTATATCTTCCCGTTCACATTTCGTTAGTAGGCAACCCTCATCACCGTTCAGCTTAATTCGTACGGCTTTAAGGCCTTTGTAAACTTGCCAATGAAGGTCTGTTTACTTCATTGGTTTGCATCGGAAATCATCTTTTTTTTCGATTGTTCTGATGTGTGTTCTGTGTCAATATTATCTATAGCTGTTTGCCCAAAGTTCTGTGACCAAAAGATATATGAATTTGGTAGCTGCTTCGAAATTTAAATCGAAAGATAAGGCATCCTGATTGGTAGGCATCGTCTTCACTCAGTTTTCCTAGGGAAGTACCACGTACTGTACTGCCTGATAAGTGAGTTCTCCAGAAATAGCAGATTTAAAAGTCAATTTGCACCTTCACTCTCCATTATGATAGCAATTCATCTATCATATGTACCGCCGCTGGGGTGGGCAGGATTAAGTCTGAATGATCCCATAATGCTTGTGATAGCGCCATGTCTGGTAATGGTCCTTTATCCGCCTCTCGTAGTTAATTAATATGAAGCATGACTAGACATGAAGGATAACTCGCGCCGGGGCTTGAGGGGTATCCTCGAGTAAGGTAAACATAAGAGGTGTTCGTTTCGTGTGTGTTTCATCATGGACATGACACTCGTTGGCAGTTTGAGTCGTTTGATGAATCGTGAGCGGAAAAACTTAGTAAAATGTGTGTGGACGGACACTTAGGTAGCTATGGCTCGTTCAAAAGGGATCGTTCCGGATTAGATTTCACTGCTCAATTTCCATCACGGAACTCATGGGATGCAGGGTAAGAATCTGCTCCGGTCCAGATTTCAAACTAATCGTAAAGATTGAACAAGGGAATTGCAAAATCAACATCAACTAATAAATTCGACGCTGTATTAAATCTTCCAAAATGAGTTCTTTAGGATTGTCTAAACAGAGAAATTTGAATAGGGGATTCAATTCGAGGGTGTTTATAACTTGTATGACGGAGAGCTGAGGGCGGAAGTGGTGTAGTGGCAAGTGGCACGCTTACCACGCGAGCGGTCCGGGGATCAAATCCTGGGTCGTGAGTCGCCCGGGCCAACCAAGCCTTCCATCCCTCCGGGGTCGGTTAATTGGTACCAGACTTGTCTGGGAGGATAAAAACACTGACTTGTACATCGGCTGGATACATTGTGGAAAAGGTGACGATCGGCCTTACCCAAAGCAATCGGCAGTGAAGAGAATGCATGGTAAATCGCAAAACGGTCAGCGGTAGTGCAGATGTTCATTTCACCACCCGTGGAAAGAGTTGAGCTTCTCTCGTCTTAGCAAATGATATGTCATGGTTGGTCTAAATTGCGTTTGATGCCTTGATCATTACGACAGCATCACTAGTTTGTTGATGGAAAGCCGAATGGCTGATTTCTCCTTTTTGACTGTGGAAGGGAAAGCTAGGTGAAGTTTTTCGAAAACGCAGGGGGTTGCTGGAACTGCTAAAGTCATCGATACGTCAGGAGTTAGGGGAAAAAATGCCTGTCGGGCTAGGAGGTTATGCACGGAGTCGGTATCAACCGTACCTCTTCACGAGTTCCATGATGTCTTGACCCCCCCCCCCCGAGCTTCCAATTCCTCGTGCTTTTTTCAAAGTTAAATGGCCCATGGTAGCGATAATCTTCTCATGGTGTACATAGCTGGAATACTAGAAATGTTTGTTTTGTTGAGTTTTGCTAGGACAGCGTTCACCAATCCAGCCCCTTGAATCTCTCTGGCTACGAAACAGTTTCTGGCGCCTGCACTCGCCAGCTGCTAAATCACTCATGGTTATGGGCTTATACGTCACGTGAAAATGTTTGGTGTACTGTAATAGTCTGACCAGTTTATTCATATGATCTCGTTGTGCTTAGCGCATGAGATTTTAGCGTGGGACGCTAAAAGATTTGCTCGCTTTGCTTGTGATGGTGTTACATCTGGACAATTTCCTCGTGAAAGGCGTGAAAAGCCCCTTCGATCAAAATTTTTGTACGCTTATTAGTTTCTATGTACATATCTCAGTTGAGTCGAAACCATTTTCGTGTCGATAAACGTGAGGTACGACGGCATCTTTTCACGTTCATCAACTCCAATGAGCCTCAGTGGCTCATGTTGCTGTTGGGCTTTTTTCTTTGCTTATTTTTCTTTCTTAATTGATACATAGTTGTGATACCTCATGTGCCTACTCACATGGTAGGTCTGCACTCGGTGTTCTACCGATGTGTTGAGAATTACTCGCACGGAACGCGTCTTACGATCATTTCCTCATCTCTACATGGACCACCTTCAACACCAGCTCCAACCCTTCCCCCCCCCAGCCCTCATAGACGGTGCGAGACATCGTTTTCTTTGTGTTGGCATTTCAAGAACTGTCCAGAAACGGTCCACTTTTGGAAGTGAGAACACCATCGCGAACCACACTAAAGACCTCAAGCCCCTGAGAGAGGTCGTGCTGTCGCGACCACTTCTCAGCGCGATGTTAACCCAAGTGTTATTTTTAAAATTATCTAAAGGATCTTTCCGAATATGAGAGGGAGAGAGGGGTCCGAGTTCCTGACATTATCCTTCTATGGCCGATGTCAGACTTTGCGAATCGCGCGATATCGCTAGCGTCCGCGGTCGCGTTTGCGGTACCAGCCAATTGAGTGATTCACTGGCCGCGACGCGACCGCAGATGCTAGCGAATCGCGCGATTCGCAAAGTCTGACGTCAGCTATATGTTCAACAACACCTCGACGTCAATAATCGTGGCGCCAGTTGCAATGTTAATCACCCTGGACACCACACACAGATGGGGGGGGAGGGCGTGTTGGCAACCTATGCTGTGGCGCACTGGAAACCGCATGTGGCTCCGACATGATATAGACTACCTTTTCATGTGGGTACATATAAGCGGTAGCCGACTTGAAAATGCACGTATTGGGCACAGTCGGACCAAGTAGGCCGGCGTGGGCTAAAGTTTCCTTTTCAGTGCGTAAGCCCTCAGTTTTTTCCAATGTGCCCAGGTGGGCAAGTAAATACTGTGAACGGCCCACCTGGGCCACATGAGGAAAATCAGGCCATCTAGCGTCAATAGCTGCTAATCAATCTCGATAGAAAATATCGGCATCGCGCAGACTACACTAAACAGGAGTGAATTTGAAGGGTGTAAAATCTCTGATTTGCTCTGCAACTGAGCAAATTTCACACGAACTATATTTTCACTCTCGAGGAATTGGTGAGGCTGCTTTAGGCTCGTGACCCTGTAGCCACCTGTCATCTTCGTGTTTTTTTTTGAAGCCTAATGTTTGCAGAGAAAAATTGCAATAGCATGGTTGTGAAACAGAGCAAGGATCGCTCAAGTGTTCGAAAAGCTACGATCTTGTTTACTTGGATCTTCAAGCTTTCCGCCTTGGAACATTTAAGATGGCAGCCAACCCACCTGTGCAACAACCAGGAACCGGAACATCATATTGTTGGTGGCGCTTTTGTTTATGCTGTGCTACCGCATGACTCGTTGTCAATACTTCTAACAGTTGCCGACAAATCGATCTGCTTTTCCTTTACATCAGTTGCTCGCTCGCTATCGTCACATAGCGATCACGCCTCCGTGAGGCTGATCTGTTGTGGCTTTTGCTCTCTCCTCTAAATTATTTTTCTCTTTTGAGTGGAAGTAGGTCGAGAGATTTTCCTTCATGACTCACTCATTTTGTTTTATTTACAGTTATGCTGCAGAGTTACGACTTATAAATTGAATGCCTTGGATCTTAAAAAGCTTCTGTTGAAGTTTTGCTGATAAAATTCCCCACCAATTCTTAGGATCAGTAGCTTAATATGACAACGATATAGTCGCTTCGATGCTTCAGAAACTTGTTTTGCACATTGGTGGCAGAGAACAGTTTACATCGATTGATATCGCTCTCGTAAGCTGAATAGACGTTGTCGCTGGTTGAAATTTAGTGGATATCACAGGAAATAGAATCTTTTTACCGGCGCACTTGCACACATAACTTATGGCACCATCTCGTGGAGCTTTGCCGTTTTAATGATCTCTTTGATTGTGAACAAATGAAGCTAAAGAGTTTTTGTTATAGGTGAAGATTCCGTTAATTGTAGCGGTTGAAGGTTTGGCTCTGCAGTACATTTGTTATATTACAGCCTCCACCTCATAAGCGTTTGAATTCTGCTACACTTGAAGCTCAACGCATTGAGAAAATGGGTATCAATGGAACAGGTAATGGGCATGCCGACTTTGATCGTGTGGCAGTGCTTGACTTTGGAGCGCAGTACGGAAAGGTACAAAAATCATCCAAATTATTGATCAACATGTGTATAGCGATGTTATCCAAAGGTTTTCACTTGCTTTGCTTTCAAGGTAATTGACCGGCGTGTGCGTGAGGCCAATGTTCTTTCGGAGATGTTCCCCTTAAAGGCAAAGGTCAAGGATATTTTGAAGAAAGGAAATTTCAAGTAAGTGACACCCTGCTGTAGTTTGAATTGTGTGATTTCAAGATTCGTTCCATCTTCGCTTTTCATAAGTAGATTGTTTACTTGGTGGTGCTCATAATTTCCGAAATTGTCTTCGTTCCAGAAACGTGTACTGAAATCAGTACACTTTTATTATTCCTTATCTATGAAATAAGTTGTATCATTAAGTAAGATTTCTGTCGAAGCTGCATTTTTTTCAGGGCGATCATAATCTCGGGAGGTCCAAATTCAGTGTATGTTGAGGGGTCTGCCCAACCTGATCCAGAAGTTTTCCTCTGTGGTCTACCCGTATTGGGAATTTGCTATGGTTTCCAGGTTCGTAGCAGGTGATTGTTTGTGTGAAAGTCCTTTAATGAATATTTTCCAGCTAATAAATAAGGGGCACGGTGGTGATGTAGCTAGAGAGCAAGTCAGGGAGGATGGGCAGTGTAAGGTGTGGCTCGATACGTCTTGTGATCTCTTTCATGGTCTCAATGAGAGCGAACAGGTACGACTTAAATATTCCTTTTACCATTCGTTGTTCTCTGATTTTGTCATTTAGGTGCTTTTAACTCATGGTGATTCTGTCACAGAGAAAACCGTGGCACCTGGTTTCAAAATTGTTGCAAGGAACGGTGGACATGTTGCAGGTACTTCTGCAGTTTTGCTTTTTTTTTACAAATCATTGGTCTTTCCATAATATATTGTCGAATAGTTATGGTTCATTTCCAATCGGATAGTATGGAAATGTAAACGAATCACAGCAATGTTTAACCACATTCTATTGAACAGTAGTTAACATTACAACTGAATGAGCCTAATATTTTCCTCGTGATAGGCCTTATAGACCTTGACTTTGTTCGAGACATCCTTCTAAAATTCCTGTCATGCTTTTCGGACGTCTGCTTTCACCAGGAAATACTTTCAATTTCCCATGAACTGTGAGTTGAAACTGGCATGAATCAGTGGAGTAATGAAGTGCTAGTTACAGATATTGAGACCAATACTTCTACGTGAACATTACAGGCAAATCGAGTGCGGTCAAAGTTCACAGGAAGGGTGGCCTTAGCATAGGAGGCGAGCTAACCTAATGCATCGGTCGGTTTAGTTTTTCCTGAAACAGTACCTATAGGGGTAAACAGATGGCCTGGTCACGAATATGACATTCATTTTTGAGACAGAGGCGATCTGGCGCCAGTTTGGTGCCGCAACTCACTTTTTTACTGCATTTTTTGCCAACTTTGACCGCTCACAACTTGCCTAGAAAGGTCGCGTAGCAGTTTTGGTCTAATCTGTGAATAGTATTCAGTACTCTACCGATTTGTTTGGGTCTCCATCCAAAGTTCCATGGGAATTTGGAAGCATTCCCTGGTTAACTTAATTCTTGTTCATTTCGTTGAAGTAAAACTATTCGCCAAGTACAGATATCTGAAGTAAGAGAATTACCAGTACAACACAAACAGATCTAATAATTTAGTCTCGTTGCGCAAACTACATTGTTTGAAGTTTAATCTTGTCATCATACATGTATGTGCCTCACCTGGGTGTGCCTACCTGTTATGACATTGCTCTCTTTTAGCATGTGCAAATTCTAGTTCACCCTCATCTCCTTTAGGCATCGCATGTCCTGAGAAGCGGCTTTATGGAGTGCAATTTCATCCTGAAGTTGATTTAACAACGAATGGACGAAAAATGTTCGAGAATTTCCTATTTCGAATAAGCGGCTGCTCTAGCTCTTATACAATGGCCAACCGTGAGCAGATGTGCATTGAGGAAATACGGAAGGTTGTTGGAGACAAGAAAGTTTTGGTAAGTAACAGCCAGTTTTCTATTTGTCTGACGGTTTATTCTGTTTACCTGATTCATACTTCAGTAAGCTAAGAAAATAAGAGCAGTAGAGATTTAGAGTGCGCTAACAACTTTTTCATTCTTCTTCAAACCATATAACGCTGCGATTTTCAGGTTCTCGTTTCTGGCGGAGTGGATTCATCAGTATGTGCGGCTTTGTTGAATCGCGCTATCGGACCGGATCGCATTACAGCGATTCATATTGACAACGGATTCATGAGAAAAGATGAAAGCGACCGCGTCGTAGAAAGCCTCAAGGAGATAAATCTGCCAGTACATAGTACGTGATTTTATTTTCTCTCAGTACTTTATCAGTTAGGGAGATGAGAGCTCAAAACATTACAATTCAGGAGAATACGCTGGGCTCAAGTTCATGGTCGCTACTGCTTCCGGGAAAACCGGTGAAGGTGAACCGCTAGATCGAACAGTGGATCCTGAACTGAAAAGGCAAATTATCGGAAATACTTTCATTCGTGTGAAGGATCGTGTTATGGAAGAGGTAGTCCCAGATTTTTAGTACTGCAAATTTGCAGAATTCATCTTTGACGAGCTGCTATCAGTTGTAGTGCTTCATGGTTTATTTTTATTATTGATGTTTGATTGTTTAGTTGAAACTCAACAAAGACGACTATTTCCTCGCACAAGGTACTTTGCGGCCTGACTTGATAGAAAGTGCTAGCGAAATTGCTAGCGGGCACGCTGACATTATCAAAACCCATCACAATGATACCGCTCTTGTGAGGGAATTACGTGCATCTGTAAGTTATCTAACTTCCTCATCTCATGAAGGATTCCCTCTGTAGTATTTGTCAGTCATGCACAAATGTTATTTTTAGGGCCGTGTTATTGAACCTTTGAGAGATTTCCATAAAGACGAAGTGCGTGAACTAGGTCGGTCGCTTGGTCTTCCCGAGCAGATTGTCAATCGACAGCCTTTTCCTGGACCAGGACTGGCTATACGTATTATTTGTGCTCAGGTTGGGTCATGAACAACATGCAAAGAATTTTTGAGAAATCGGAAGCTTCACATACATATATAACCTCCCTTAAAAGCGAGAAAGTGTCGGGTGCAGACCAAACACCACAACTGACGACGGCCTCCAAGTAAATCTGGTTAGAAGTTGTTCATAGTGATAGCTGATTTCTGGTAAATGATAGTTGTAATTAGTGACAATCGATAGAATACAACTGCAAATGAAGGCCTAATCACTTCATTGGCATGGTCTGCAAAC